TTGACCACTGAAATCAGTTGATTTCTCTCTCCTAAGTCGTTACTTTTTGTCCCATGGACCCAGTCACTAAGCACAGTGAGGACCCAGCTGCTTCCAGACACTTCAAACCCCGCCATCTCTTAGTCTCCTTCCATAGGTTGATTCTGCAAGGAAAAGGGATGATTTGTCTACTATTCAAAATTTTCATTCTTTTGACCTCTTTGCTTATGCAAGTAAGGATAATGACCTGCTTCCTTCTGGCCCAGAGGGTTATATCCATATAAGTATTTCAACAGAGAAATAACAGGAAGACCCCTTACTACTTTCCAAGGGACCACTGATAATTATGGTAAAAAAGAAAAAGAAAGAAAAAGAAAAAAAGAAGAGGAACTGATAAAGATGTTAAGAAGAAATTTGCCTTTAATGGTACTGTAATTGAGCACTTACAACATGGAGAAATATTTCAGGTACAGGTTGACCAGCACAAGAACACATGCCATTTCCCAATAGAGAATGGACTGGCTACCTATCATTAGGATACCATTAGTATTGTGGCTTACTGAAACTTCAGTGAGGATTTCCTTGCTGGGAGTAGAATTTCCCTTTTTTCCCTTACCACAAGTTGACTGGTCGCTCCTGCCTGTAATCTCAGGAGACTGAGATCTGAGGATTTGCAGTTTGAAGCCCAGACAGAAAAGTCAATAAGACTCTTACCTCGGGTTAACCAACCAAAAGCCAGAAATGGAACAGTGTTCATGTACATCAGTAATGGAGATGTTGTACTTTATTATGAAATGATCGTAACCTTAATTTTGAGTCAAGTGACTATAAAAATGACTGCTCATTTAACTGAATTATTACAGGTTTCAAAAAACTAGGTAATAGTTGGAGAATATTTGATAAACGTAGAGTGTATTTGTTGAGATTCAGAGAAAAAATCCTGATTTTTCCATAAAGTGTTTGGTATAAGTTTCAGGAAAAAAATGGTAACTAAGCATTTACATTAAATTATGAAGATTTAAGGTAATTTTTAATATGTGCTACTGTTACAGTTTTCTCTCTATGAAAAAAATGATCAATTTAAAAATCAGATTTACAGGTGTAGTTGTAAGTACATGGTAGTGAGCAGTCTTGACTATCACTTTCTGTATATGTCTGGGATTTAGAAGTGAATATTTTCCTGATAGCTATATGAAACTAGGATGAAAGGTGTAAACCTCCAAATTTGTGTAGTTCACTGTCAGTCACTGGAGGCCATTGACTTTCCTAGATCTTTTCCTTCCTAGATCTTTTCAACGCATTTGTCATGTATTAATGTCTATATAAGGAATGTCATTGTAAGGAAATTGAGGTCCAGAGAGCTAAGTTCACACAGATACAGACTCATTGGTAAAAACTGGAACAAAAACTCATTCTAGGGGCTGGGAAGGTGGCTCCGTGGTAGAGAGCTTGCCTTGCATGCATGAGGCCCTGGGTTTGATTCCTTAGCACCATATAAGCAGAAAAAATCAGAAGTGGCACTGTGGCTCAGGTGGTAGAGCACCAGCCTTGAGCTGAAGAGCTCAGGGACAGTGCCCAGGCCCAGAGTTCAGGCGCCACTACTGACAAAAAAAAAACATAAAACAAAAAACTCATTCTAAACAACAGAATTAGGACAAGAACTCTTTCTGTCCTTAATAATGAGGTGGCAGTTGAAGAGGAACTTCCCATTCAGTTTGAGGCAATAGAATCAATGTAAAAGCAAAATGAGCACAAAAATTTTTAACTCTTACAATCAAAGTAAAATTTATTTTGGTTAAATATGTATCAATAGTTTATTAATAATAATAGACACTCATTATGCTTAATACTGGGCTGCCTAAAGGCTTCCAATGTATCATCTCATTTAATCTTTGTAACAACTTGATGAGGTAGGTATTGTTCATAGATGACAAAACTAAGCTATAATATTGCATTGAGGAAATTGCAGAATTAGTATTCAAATTTAAACTGACTCTTTAAGTGGAAATTGCACCATTATATGGTCTACTCTGGCTTTCTGTTTCAACTTTAACATACCATTTTTAAGAGGAAATGGAAGTGTAAGAAAACCCATCCAAGACTTAGTCACTATGTATATCCCTATCACTTAAAGAAAAAAGGAATACTTTGCATTGTTATCACTTTAGTATTGTAAATTTCCAACATTTGGAAAGTGTATACTGGTAATTCGCTCCCTCTGAAAATTAGTGAAATACAGTCTAGTACCATCTAGCCTTAACCTTTTATTTTATTTTTAAACAGAAACATTGTTCCCTTCATCTTGAGAGATTACAAGAATCACAAAAGGTCACTATACAGATATCACAGGTTAGAGAGATTGTACCCTTTTCTGGATAAAGAGCATAAACCCAATGGTACAAGCCTTATGTGTAAGAAGGGGTTGAAATTGACTTTTATTTAAATAAACTAAATCACATTCCCACAAACTTTAGTCTTTATAATAAGTGAAGTGACTCCAACAGGTGTTATAATTAACATCCTATGCCTCTTAAAGAATGAAGGGAACTAGAGAAAACATGTAGTTGTTTAGCTTTTAAAGGATTTCTACAATCATTTTCAACATTTATCTGGAAATTTCTTGGCTTAGGGAAGTTACTGTCGAAGCAGCAGGTTTTCAGTGTAACATCACCTGTCAAACAAATAGTTAGAGAAGGAGTAAAATTTAGCATTGAAATTTCCTAGGAAAAATAGTTTACCATTTAGAATTACCTTTTAAAGCTGGACGTGGTAGCACATGTCTGTAATCCTAGCTAATCAGGAGGCGGAAGCAGGACAGGTGTGAATTCTAGGTCATTCATCCTTTACAAAGATTGCAGTGAAACCTGTTTTTAAAGTAAACAAAACAGGCTGGGAATGTGGCTTAGTGGTGGAGTGCTTGCCTAGCATGCATGAAGCCCTAGGTTTGATTCCTCAGTACCACATAAACAGAAAAAGCCAGAAGTGGCACTGTGGCTCAAGTGGTAGAGTGCTAGCCTTGAGCAAAAAAGAAGCGCAGGGACAATGCTCAGGCCCTGAATTCAAGCTCCAGGATTGGCTAAAAAAAAAAAAATTAAAACAATAAAAGGTCCAGGGCTGTAGCTCAAGTAATAGAGTGCTTTTCTAGCATGTCCAGGGCCCTGGCCTCAATCTTCAGAACTGGAAAGGACAAATTCATTTAAATTGATCTTAGTTACAGACCAGTAGTTCTTTAAACCTTGCCTTTGCATTTTGCAACTTAATAAATGGTTCTTCAATTGAAACTGAAAGAAGATCCAAGATATGTGCTGTTTCTTGCCTTGAAAAAAACTACTTATTGAGTATTGTAAGTAAGTAAATATAGATGGGTATGAGTGTATTGAACAGATAGCCTTTTCATAAGCATTTTGATTATATCTGAAGGAAAAATAACGGCCATGGATTTCCAATAAGATTTAAATGTAGTTTCAGAGAAGTTTGTTCATTTCTTTTACCAGGCAAACTTGTTATTTTTTTTCTTTTTGGTGAGGGAAAATAGATTAGCAAGGCCCCGTGGTCTTTATTTATTTATTTAGAAGTCTCCTAAGGAATTAGTACCTGATTTGCTCTCCATTTTTTTCTGAGTAATTTTTAAATGAAATAGATAAATAATGAGATATAGGGTTTTTTGTGGGTTATTTTTATTTTTTATTTTATTTTTGGTTATATAGTTTTGGTTATACTAGTTGCTTGTGCTAAGTTTGCTTTATGTTATCCCTTGGAATTCCTTCACAGTGTAGTTAGTTCTTTAGCTTTTAGAGAATTGGGTAGGCCTCTGTACTTAAGAATTTCAAGATGTTTAATGATAAAGTGTTTGGTGGAAGTATTGTCTAAAAGTTATTCCTCCCTTTTGTGAGACTTAGGGCTTTATTTTTACCTATACAAACACATTTATTTCAAAATTACTTAATGCCCCTTCATATTGTTTGTATTTGACTTACTTTGATTATACTATGATTAATACTATTTTAAAATATAATTTTATTATTACTTTTTTATTTATATGCTACTGAGAATAGAACCAGGGCTTCATGCATACTAAGCAAGCATTCTTTTTTTTTTTTTTTTGGTTCCGGTCGTGGGGCCTGAACTCTGAGCACGGGCGCTGTCCCTCAGCTCTTCAGCTCAAGGCTAGCGCTCTACCACTTGAGCCACAGTGCCACTTCCGGCTTTTTTCTTTTTGCTTATGTGGTGCTGAGGAATCGAACCGAGGGCCTCAAACATGCAAGGCAAATGCTCTACCACTGAACCACCTTCCTATCCTCTAAGCAAGCATTCTTAACACTAAGCCACATTCTCAGCCCCTGTAGTTAATATTTTTAATATTCCTTTTTGGTCATGAATTTAAGCAAGTATCCATGGCCTTTTTATTAAAATTTATATGTATATTTGTGTGTTGGTTTCTTTTATTCACCTGAAGCACCAACATGTTGGAAAATGTGTTTCACAAACTTTGTAAGTAGCTGGTCAAAGAGATGGTTGCTCTTTTTGATTATTGTAAGCAGTTGGTGCCTTGAAGGGCTATAGAACTCTCATTAATTGATTATGAAAATTTATGTCTGGAATTTGCTAATAGAAGCACACCAGATTTTGTTATGTCTTTTGTTTATATTTTGATGTTGTAAAAGAACTATAATAAAAATTACGATTTCAAATTTTTAGCCACCAAACGTACTTAATTAAAGTATGGTCATTACCGCCTACTTTGTAAAGATTAAAAATGATTTGTTCTCTTTACATTATGTTTTCTTCTCTCTTATTCATAGCAGAGAATGAATATATTGAGAGCAGAGAAAAAAAATACATTGAGGCGACTAGGTAGTTATTACTTAAAGTTCTGTTACATGAAAGGAGGATTAGTTGTGACATGTAAATATGCAATAATTAAATGTATGAGCATATATCATATATATATCATTTAATACAATTAGATGTGTACATAAAATTCCTCAGTCTAATTAATTGAATGGCTTTTTCCCCTCCAGTTCTGTAGAAAATGTTCTCAAAACACTCGTGAAAAGCTGCCGACCGTAAGTAGTATATCTCACTTTATAAAGCCTGTTGTTATTTCTATGGGCCTTCCCCCATCTTTAGTATGCTTTGAAGAGGAAATTAAAGGTATAAGTAGTTTTTGACATCCTGATAATAGTTATTGAACACAACATATCTTTTCTAGCTCTTGAACTAAAATTTTTATATTTCATTTTTTAATTAAAAAATTAAATCACTTATTAAATAGTAAGAATACCATAATTTACACAGTGTCATTTTCTGAAAAAATTTCATAGAGTATTATTATTCAGATAAGAGATATATTCTAAAACAAGCATTCTCAATATTGTAATAAAATAAGTAATAACAAAAAAGTGGTCTATAAGTTTTTTACTATGTTCTCCCTTGGCAGAATACTTATTTCCATATTCTAATCATTAAAGGTGAATAAAGGTATAATTTTATATTAAAGTTCATTTTTATATATTTGAATTATTTTTTATTCTTGTTATTAGGCTATTCTGAGACTTTTCCTTCAACAATGCAGTAAATTCTTTTGAATGGGAAGCCCTGTGTAATGCTTATAAGTTTTATTTATTTAATAAGTTACTTAATGATTCAGATTTATTATTGACCCACATATTACTCAGTACTGGGCAAATTTATTTTTAGGATATAAGACCCTCATAAGAGGCTTAAGACCTAGCCTGAGTCACAGGTCACCTCCAATGTTTAGTGGTAGGCAGTTTTTTTTATCCATTTGGCTTTCTCATTGCAAGCTTATTACCAAGGAACTCTCAGCCTTTTATTTTGGATTATTAGTCTAGCAATTGACTCAAAAAAATTAGGATTTTTTTTTTGTCGGAAGTGGGGCTTGAACTCTGGGCCTG